TCAGTACTTCAGACAATGACATACGAGATACATAAACATACATAACTAATGCAGTGTTTCCACGCGCTCCAGACGTCTTTGTTCCCTTTTGTTTTTGTTAAATGGCCTTACGGAGTAATTTACAGCTAGCTTTGCTTTTTTATCTTCTAGATCTTTCTCTTATCGGGTGGAAACAGAGAAAATTAATATTCGTTCTTCGTATTGTTGTAATCAAATCTGGATAAATTTATATGTATACCTAAGTATAAAAATATAGTTAAAAAAGATTTCCTGCGAGTGGGATCGAACCCGTTATCATGATAGGCAGTCAGATGTTATATGTATGACATGTAATGCAATAGCTTAGCGAGGTTATTATTTTTACAAAACTTTTAGTAATTTTTAAATACACAAAGAGGAGAAACTAAATCCGTATAGGTCTATCGGTTGTACTAAACCCTAAAAATAACAATGAACGCTAAGAATATAAAGTTTTAGTACATTTACCGTTCTTAGTGTATCTAGTGAACGAAAACATAGTTTAAAGCGAGTTCACTTTATTTAATTACCTAAAAGGAAATGGAAAAGTAGCGTCAGTCGAAAAGTTGGCAATTAATTGCGAAACGACGTAGCTGCGTTCAAAGATACGTTCGAGTTTCATAGTAACGAGTTTGACTTTAGTGTATATTTGAAGATATTGGCTGTAGCTGAAATAACAAGTTAATCAGAACAAGATGGTGAATTTCGTGAGATGTTTTCAGAAAATCATGTTTTAAACTTAATTAATCATTTTATTGTACTAGTTGCTGTTTCTAAAGTCTAATTACAAAACATTCCTTTATGTTATTTTATATTAGCGACTTTACCTCACTCGGGTGTTACAGTAGCAATGTGTTAATCCAGGCCATAATGTACCTACTAAACATCCCAATCCGTCATTATCCCCATCCAACAGTGAGCATAAACATACATACAAACTTTCTTTGACTATAGTAGTCCGATACGCAATTATAGTTGTAATATTGTAATATTTTCGGTTTTTGGTTCAGTTCAAACTAAAGATTTCAACTCATTTTAGGCGATGACAAAAAATCTTGTCCAATCGCAAATAGCCTTAACTTATTTTAGTGCAAAAAAATTTTGCACAAAAGAATTGTTTTAGGGAATTTTAAGAACTATATTACTTTACTGTATTAATTTTCAGTTACAAAATAGATATTGTTAACAATTTAAAAATTTCTCACCTAACTATGTACCTATATTAAATAAATTACGGTTTAAAGCTAGAGTGCACTATATTAAATTATCCTCAAAGGATGTGTAAAACTGACACTACCCGGAAGGCGGTAATTAACTACAAAGCAGCTGCTTCAATGAAGACTATGCTTAGGAGACGAATTATAATTAATTTAATTATTAATTTATATATAGATAAGCATTTTTCAACAGAATATTAGCCTAAGATTAAATTTATTTATTAATTTAATTTAGTGCTCATATTTTCACTACAAGCGTTGTAAATTAAATAAATAAAATATAAAATAAAAAAAGACGGCAAAAATTACATTACTTACATTAGGATACCATTAAGATATTTTTCATTAAAAAAAATAACTAATTAGATGGCATAAAAGCATACTTTTTTAATTATCCGAAATCGAAAGTGTGACAAAACGAAAAGTCGGTAATTAAGCGCGAAGCAACAGTACTTCGTTGAAGGAGTCATTACGTCTGGTATTATAGAGTATAGAGGAATTTGTCAGCTGTGACTTTATTAACCGAATAACGCCTTCAGTAACAGCTTTTGCTATGTATATCACAAATTCGAATGGATTTGTTAGTTTGTCCTCTTTTCTGACAGTTTAGGAGACAGGAAGTAAATTCTAGGATAATTAAGATATGTTATATAGATAGATAGTTACGGCACAACTTGTTGTTAACACCTCCAAGTAAATTTCTAAGAAATTAATTAAATTTCTAAATCTATTGTTAACTGTAACGCCGGCGTGTCGCGGTTGTGGACGGATTAACAATATATTTCAAGAATTTAATAAAAGACGTGTGGAGATAGTTTGGAATGGTAGAAATGTTTACAAGCAAATCGTTGCTTGTAAAAAGTTCTATCGAAACTTAATGCATAGTCAGCAAACCTGCATGACTGAGAGAACCTATCAAGTTTTCGAAAGACATGTGTATTCCGCCAACCCGCACTTGACCACCAGTTGGACATTAAAAAGGTCTGAAAACAATGCATAATTGCACATTTGGGCAAATCCCTACTCTATTAAATTAGACCACAAAAGTTTTTATGATGCGGGATGCCAGATGTGAGTAACAATCTTTACTTCAACAATATTAACTTTCGTAGAAAGTATACTTTTTAAAAAAATTCTAACTTTGTAATAGAATATTGTTATCACTCTGGGAAATAGGATTCTAAATAAACAAAATAAACCTTGTACAAACAAACCTATTACCCTTTTTCACATAATTTATCATCACTGAAATCGTCATTTACGAGTATGTTATACAACGAATTTTTGACTTTATACATGCCTTCTATTAAACAAATCTCGAACGATAAGGTGACCGCGACCGCTGTCACGCCCATACGACCATTTATCACCCTTTGTTTTCAATGTCCAGGGACACGCCTCTTACGTGAAGTCTGAAAATGATATGTTATAAAACATAATTTATGCCGAAATAAAATGAATTGCAAAATAATTTTCTCTTAAAATTAGAGCTTTCCAGTAATGAGACTTAATTATGAAGCTTTAAAATCATTAATATGATAAAATGTGAGTATTGTCGGCTTATCAAAGGGTTAATAAAATTAACTGCTAACAGTTAAAATAATATGTATATCCATATTGGAATAAATTTTAATTTGAAGCACGTTTTGTAATTAACACTAGTACTGTGTTGATTTGTAAAAGTTACTTGATTATATTTTTACTCTGTGTTTTTGTTATCTTCATCTGCAACATAGTGTTGTGTTAAACTTTTGATTTAAAAGTTACTAATGTTAGTATTCTAATCATGGCTTTAGAGTTAGCTGCAAAGTTTTGAAAATACACGTTTTCATATTATTAAATTCTCTAACTGCCAGAAAAATATCATTTTAAAAACGTGTTTCTATGTTTTTATTTTCTTTGGAATATGAGCGTCGTATAAGGTAAAAAATTTTGAAACCTCAAGGTTTTTTACATAACCGCTTGGCTATAAAATAAAATTAGCAAAAAATTATGGCTATTTTTATTATATAAATTTGGTGAAATAAATAACGTATATTTCGCCTATATTTGTAAGTATACTAAGTTTTCTAATATTTTTTGTGCTGGTAATATTATTATATTTACAATTAGATACATATGAATTGATAATCTAAAAATATTTTATCAAAATATTGAATCCAATAACATTCGTTATGATTTTATTACGTTCTTCAACATAGCAGGGTTTTTAACCTTCTAAAAAGTTATCTTATAATAATAGGTAGATAAAGTGAACTTATAGCAAAGTTATCCATTTTCCATTCCAAGCATTTGTAAGTCAACATTTTCAACCAATTGTGTTAAGGACTGATTTTCAAGCATTTCATAAAATTTTAAATGAAACTATCTTTTCGGATTATTTCGCGGATTTATTTTAATTTTTGTTCCCGACGTTTCGAATGCTTTACAGCAATCATGATCACGGCAAAGACTAAGGTTTTAAACGTCTCAAAGGCGTTACAGGCAGACAGTCTGCATTTAAATTATTTAAAATGTCAAATATTCGCGTAAATCTAAGAAAGTATCATTTCATAAAAGTTATTCATCAAGTAAAATACAACGTAACTAATTATAAAAGTGAAACAATTTAACTACCCATTTTATTAATACAACTTTCATTTCCTACGTATCTATATCAAATTTTCATCGGGTAATTAAAAATTCTCTTTTAACGTAGTTGTAATATATGAATTATACTGAGTAAATAAAGATATGTTCACAGCTCTAACAATTTTTAACATTGCATAATTATAAAAGTCGACAGACAGGTGCGAATTTTAATTAAAAATATATAAAGAGCTTAATCCCTCTACGGCATTCGATGACCAAGCGCTTTTTTATAACTTCATTTATTACTCAATAACTGCTTTTTTCAATTAAGCTCGATATATTTTAATGTGAATCACACACAGTATGTTCATCGAAACGTGTCAGATTGAAGTTTAAATGAATTGCATTTAATAACAACTCTGCAAGAAGAGTTTCTGTAGTGAATTTTTAAAACGGCTTTCATCGCCTTTCTTGTTTAAGTTAACACTAATGGATTGGCAAAATTTAATCATTACATAGATTGTGACTCGCCCACATAGTAGTGACTGCCCAGGTAAATTCATTTAGCCTCCGATGTACCTACCCTCTTGTTCTTTCCCGGCCTACGAAATGGACTAACTCAATAACCTCACTTTCGCAAACATAATATTGTTAAGTATTTTTTCCCATTTTCCTGTAATTTCTATTAAAGTTACGCATTTAGCCTCACGTGTATGTATATATGTATAGTTAGGTGAAGAAAAGTAAATATTATAATTGCAAGAAATTATTTCCAAAATAATCGTCAAAAGAGACATGTTTTATGCTTATGGTAAAAATATATGTAATGAATAAGCTTTTCAAAGTTGAGATTCAATAAAAAATTTCTTAAGAGCTACCTTTATCATTATAAGAATGTGATGTGTATGATAAAGGAATAACATGTCGGCCCCGGTCTAGTTAGTGCTTTGGTCTGAGAAAGCTTTCTTATATATAGTTATTTTTTTGTTACGCTAGTACAAATAGCTAGTTTCAACGATATTCGAATAAAAATACGTTATATTTTTACCCTATGTTTGATTAGGGTGTCTAGTTTGGACAATGGAAAGAATATGAGAGTATCAGTTACTAATGGGTTCGGATTATGGGCGTTCCTTTTTTTATTAACAAAATCGTTACAAAGCCATGTAGAGTTTTTAATTAAAAACGAGGTGAATGTATACTTTTTTAGCTTCGCTTTTATTAACAGTAACAAAAGAAAATGGTAAAACCTTTGTTTTACGATTCGAAAAGGTAGGTGTAATTTCGGTAGTAAAAGCTATGAATTTTACATATTTCAGCATGTTATAAATATTTTATATGGTACGTACCTCCTAAGGAATATATTTTATAATCATTTATCTTACCTGTCAAAAATGTATTTGCAAAAATCCAACAGTCCAATTTTGCTTAAACCCTGTTTACATAAAATAAAACCTTACATGATATAAAATAAAATAATGGTATAACGCCGTGTACGGGAATTGGCTTTCAATTTGTAAAGCGTTCATATATCAAATATTTACTGTTATCTTTATAATAGAGACAGGTTTCATTTGTATCTAAAAATAAAATTTTTAAAGAATAACAAATCGATTTTGTAATAAATTTATTAAATCTTAAAATACAATATATTTATTATTTAACAAAATAAAATTAATTTATTTTTAAAAGATAATATGGTAGTATTTTCTAAAGATAATACGATAAAAAACTATAAGCTCTCCGTTCAACGACCCCTGTCAATGTTTTCCTAGCCGGAACTACCCTGGCAGGCCGTCTAGACATTTAGAGCAAACACTATTTGTCTAACTCCCGCGTTCCTCGGTTCATTCCAGAATAGATTCATATTGATTATAGAATATGTATATATATGAATTATATGTATTGTATATATATATATATATATATATATATATATATATATATATATATATATATATATATATATATATATATATATATATATGAATATGACTAGAAGCAATATATTTATATTTGAATTTTACGACATTTCTTCAACGTGATTCTGTCTATAGTTTTGTTAAAATAATATTATTGACAAGTTCAATACCAACTTGTTGTCACTGTATTCTTATAAAAATGGACGAGAGAAGGTACTTGTTTGATTTCCGTAACTAGCTTTTTAAATATATCCATCTTACAAAAACTACTTATACAATTAAAAATACAAGCATTCTTTATATTTTCTTGCACGTTGTAAAACCGTAATATATAAGAAAGTATAGGGAATTTACAACTAGGAATTATTGATTTAGCATTAAATCAAATAAGACTTAAAAAATAATGAAGTCCTTAAAACCGATCTCTGCCACGGCGGCCAATCTCACTGAGGACACACAGGAGATATTATAGTGCACAAGAATGCGCCTAATACACAAGTAGGTTGTCTAATCCTTTCGCTCTCAAACTTCGTTTGGGCGACAATTCGGCACGATAAATATTAATTATAAACATTTAACAATTATAGCACCTAAGCACACTGATGTACTGATGTGTATAATAGAACATACATTAAGTATTCATATAGTAATATATGTATGTAATTATATCCTAATTATTATTTATCTTCAGGCGACAAGTGGTGCGGAACCGCAAGTTGCCGTGCTATGCGAAGCTGGCGCCACCTACCACCCGCAGTACATGTCCGCCGCAGGACGATGGACACCCGACCTCACGACAAAACCGCACAACTGCCTGAAGGACAAGATGGAAATCCTTGACTATTGCAAGAAGGTAATAAAAGAAAGACATTATAGAACATATGAAAAAAAATAGATAATTAGGTGCTTTTTAACTGAAATGGCTTAAATTTAAACATCAATTTAAAATTAATTTTATAACTAAATGATGGAATTGAATAACTCCTAAATATATGTGTAACACGAAATCGTTGCTTAATGTATGTAAAACGTTTGTAATGGAATTTTTTGCGACATTCTCGCATTTTTGTTACATTTTTTTTGGGAATTGTTTGAAATTGAAAACATTATATTTGCATTTCTAAGGTCGAATACTAATTCCATAAAATGTATTTTTAGAAAATTATTTAAATAAGTAAGTCATCAAAAAAATAATATATGTGGAGAATTAATTTTACTTAATTGAAAAACTTAAAAGCAAGAAAAACTGCAATATATTTAGTTAAGGATATATAAATATTAATTCTTTATATTTAACTCCTAGGTGTACCCAAGTCACGATATAACTAACATCGTTGAGGCTTCCCACTACGTCAAAGTCAGCAACTGGTGTAAACTCGGCTCTGGTAACGCCGCCAAGTGTAAAGTCACCAGATGGGTGAAGCCCTTCCGTTGTCTTGGTATGTGTATTGCCATTAAGAGTTTTATTATTTAATATATCATATTGCTTTAATTCTTCGTTAAAATATCCTTACAAGGGTGTAGCAAAATATTTGAATTGACTAAAAAGTATTCATAGATAAGAAAAATATAAGAAAGAAGTTCACATTTACCATAAGCAGCACTTTTCACATAGAGCAATTACTGATTAAATAAGCTTTTAATTAAGTAATTAAGCATAGTCCGGTAAAAATGCTATAATTTAAAAGCAATTAAGTTCAACACTTTGCTTATAGATTTTTAATTTATATATTAAAATTGATTACTATAACAACGAGTACAATAGGCGATATCATTATGTCAATATAAAGCTTGTAGTTTTATATTACTTTGAATAAAACTAAGATCTATTTATGGAAAAAAGATTTTCTGTTTAGCTAATTTTCACGTTAACTACAAAGATTATTTGGTGGCAGAAGGCCCATTCCAATCGGACGCGCTGCTAGTGCCTGAGAGCTGTCTGTTCGACCACATCCACAACCAGAGCCGCTGCTGGCAATTCTCCCGTTGGAATGCCACCGCCGGCCGAGCGTGTGCTCAGAGAGGACTGCGCCTGCGCACCTTCGCTATGCTCCTACCTTGCGGCATCAGCTTATTCTCTGGAGTCGAATTCGTATGCTGCCCTAAGCACTTTAAAGGTTAGCTTAGAAAAATATTAAAATATTTAATAAATGAATATTATTTGTTGATTAATATGCAATATTTTCACTAATATCTTCCATTTCTCAGAAAATGTAAAGATGCACAAGCCAATGGACGTAGGTGTACCAGTGAACCCTGGCGGTGAAGAAATGTTAGCTGCTTCTGCTGCTATGGATGAACGAGATGATGAGCTCCTTGATGATGAAGATGCACTCACCGATGATGACGATGACACTATCAACCTTAGCGACGATGATGATGATGACGATGCTGATGATGGTAATACATATATAAATGTCTTTAATTATAATAAAATATATTTTTAACGAATTTAAAATATGAACGTAATAGAAAGTTTAGTAATGTTTATAATTTATGGCTTTTAATGTAAAATTTATTAAAGACAAAGTAGATAAAAATATGTTAATAGATATGGACGAGGATGAAGATGCTGACTTGACTCGTGATGATGATGCTGAAGATGATGATTACACTGATGGTGATGACTCCGCCTGGCCACGACCTGAGTCTTCTGCCTCTCCTCCTTCAACCACAACGTCTACAACTACCACCACCACTACAACTACTACGGTGAGTTTTCATTTATTCTTATTTTCGTGATATAAGCACAGATGTTTAAATTTACCTAAGTTTTTTTTTACCTTTTTCATTATTATTTTAACTTTTACTTAGTGGTAAATAGTAATTAGGCAAAATTTACTGGAATCTTGTATTCTACTGTATTTTGTTGCCGTTAAAGATGACCGGTACATTTTTGCAGGCCTCTACTGCTACCTCCGACCCTTACTTTTCGCATTTTGACCCCCGGACTGAACATCAGAGCTACAAAGATGCGCAGCAACGGCTTGAAGAGACGCACCGCGAAAAGGTATGTCATAAAATCGAATTATATGAGATTTAGTTGGCATTTCCCTATTTGTCTTACTTATAATATATAATAATTCCATTTTAGATTACCAAAGTAATGCGAGAATGGTCTGAGTTAGAAGATCGCTATCAACAGATGATGTCGACAGACCCCGTTGCCGCACAAACTTTCCGTCAGCATATGACTGCTAAATTTCAAGCTAATATTCAGGTAAAAGCTTTTAAAGTATTCTATGTATATTTAATAGTTCAACAATATTTTATAATGATTGTTATTATTTTTGAAAAATATTTTAAATAATCGTAAAACATACCTATACAGTCTTTAGAAGAAGAGGGAGTATCGGAGCGCCGTCGCCTCGCCGCCTTACATCAACAACGTGTGCTCGCGCACCTCGCACAACGCCGACGTACCGCGCTTGCTTGCTACTCGCGATCTCTTCGGGACACGCCACCAAATGTAAGTAGTTTTGCAAAGTCAAAAAGTATTGTTATCATGTAATTTATAGTTCAAACATATGGTTTATTTTTGTTTCCTGAATGGTATCATTTGTTTTGAATATAACGTTGAAAGCGTTTTAACGTGTTATTTTCAAGTTATTGGAAGGAACGAACTAAAAGGAAGTTATACTTCTTTTGTCATATTAAAAGAGGAGAATTTTCAATTCAAATCATATATTATAGTAAGATACTTAAATTAGAAATGGTTAATGGCCTGTAATAAATGAAATGAAAAATTATGTCTACGATTTTTTATACACTGATGAAGCAAGTGTAAAAAATATGTATAAAGTATAGAATAGTAAAAAAATAAAGATATTACAATGATTTCGGTCTATTATAAGTGCGATAGTTAGTATGTATGTGTTTGTTTCTATTACCGTAAAACGGCTGGTCGGATTGGGATGAGATTTAGTACACGAATAAACAATGACCTGGAGTGACACATATGTTATTGTTAAGCGCCAAGGATAAGCCCAAGCGAAGGAAGAATAAATCCTTAGTATCTAATAAAACATTGTGTACTAGGCCCATCGCGTCCAGAAATGCCTGCAACGTCTAGTCCGAGCGCTCGCGGCTGAACGTAGCGGAGCATTAGCCGCGTGGCGCCGCGCCGCCGCCGCCGGACGCGAGGCCGCCGCCGCTGAACGAGCCAGCGCTGCTGATAGGTTACAGGTTTGTTTCTATATTAAGTCTTCATATTAACTTCTTTTTAGTGTCCCACTTCTGGGCACAGGCTTCAGTCGATTTGAAAAAAACCGTGTGGGATCAGGGCATAGTCCACTAACCCCCACTTGGTGGATTTCTAGTTCGTTTTCTCAAGGTACGAGGTACAAGACCAGGGACTTGAACGAGTATAATTTGATTTTTCAAGCAATGGAACGAAGTTACCATTATAATTAAGCTTTATCATTATTTTAAGTTTTAATAGTAAATATTACGTCATTATAAATAATTGACTTTTCTTTAAAAGTTAATTGTAATTTTTAGTACTTTATTTTCTTAGGTATCGGTATCCAGCATAGAGTACATATGACATATTCATACATACTTACATACTTGTTTATTCAGTTAAGATAATAAAGACAATTAAAACTTGTAGATAATAAGTTCAGAAGAAAACAAATTTGTTTTTGTAGTTTTATTTTTGTAGTTCAATTTATAATTAGTTCTATTGCTGATGAAAATTTTGGTAATTGCAAGGATGCTGACCGCGCTTTGCAACGTGCTTTGACTTCTCTTCGCCGCCGCCCACACTTGTATGCTAGCATCGGTACCGCTATTGAAGATTATGTTCAGGTAACTTTACCTTTTTAAAAAAAACTGTATTTTATATTGAACGGAAATACTATATGAGATACTTAAATATTTAGATTCAGTATACAATATATTTATTTTGTAAATTAAAATTTTGAGGTATAATAGATTGTCATTTGTTATATTTTTTTTAATAATTATTATAATGAAAAACATATCTTCATAAGAATTGATATACCTTCGTATGATACAATTCTCTTTAATTATTATCATTAATTTAACGAATATCTATGTAGTCGATGCAATCAAAGGACGACATGGCTGTATCCCTGATGTCTATGACCCCTGAGGCTGAAGAGCTTCTCCTGGACCGTATTGAAGCAGAAGTGCAGAGGGAACAAGCCGCCCGTGAACAACTCAACGCTAAGAGGGATCAACGCACCCGTCAGCGACAGGACATCCAGAACGAACGCGCAAGGGTATGTGTACTGTTTAAATATTTACTAATGTTAAAATGCAAAAAACATATTTCTTTGCGGGGAAAGTGCCATAGTGACCTGTGTAATAAATAAATAAATAATAAATAAATATGTTGGGACATTAACACACAGCACCATCTAGTTCCATAGCTGGTATGGTAAGCTACAAGTCCTGTGTTATGGATACGAGATAGTTGATACACTACACATATATAACTTTAAATACATAGATATTATAAATATAAACACCCATGACTGGAGCACAAACGCTCGTGCTCATCACACAAATGAATGCCCCCAGCGGGACTTGAACCAGCGACCGCTGGCAAGGCAAGTAGGGTCACTATAAATGAGCCAATTGTGTAAGCGACTGACGTAATGTTTCGCATGTACATACTGTACTTCCTGCGAAATATTAATTGAATGGGAAGAAAATATAGAGGACATGACGTATACTAATACTAATACATTTAAGACTCATATGAAATGAAATAATCTTCAAAACTTTTTTTATTTAATAAAACTAGCTGACTCAACAGATCTTGTTCTGTCACAATTTCAATAGTGACGTTGATGTTTTGTATGACTTAAAACGTGTTTAGAAACAACTACTTACATTTTTTCCCGAATTTTTCAATTTACCGAGCAAAATTTACAAATTTTTCCATAAAAAAACTTTCTTATTACGTAAATTTTAAAACAAAATAAGCCAAACAGTTTTCAAGCACTTAGCAAGAATTTAATACCTATAGTCTCATCATAATGTTCGCCATTAAAACAAATTTATTTTATTTTAGACTGCCAACGGATTAAAGGAGAGCGAAGAAGCTGATGACGAGGCCAGCGAAGTAATTGACACAGAGGACACCACCACCGCGCCTGCCACCCAGACCTCCCCCGCGCCCTCCGCGTCACCGTCACCGTCCGCCTCGGTATCCGTGCATGACTTTACCACCCGGTCTACTTTCACCCAGGAAACAACTCCTACGGTAAATATCTCAACATCACGCCTTTATAATAATTAGTCCATGTCACGGTAATGTAATGCATACAGTATTGCAACTCGTGCCTGTCCGTGAAATAATTACCTACAACCAACGACCACACAGCCCGATAGACGCCTAATTTATGTACTTCTGCATCCAAACCTCTCAGTCAAAAGTCTGAGGTAAGCGTTACGGGGGAGACGGGTTGAAATGCACGCTGATTGGTTAATTCAATACAAATAGTGATGGGAACCAGAAGTTTTATATCGTATCGTAGGTAGGTATCGTATTTAGTAGAATAATTTTCTGTTTTAAAGAATATTTTTAATTAAGACAAGTTTTCTTTACTATAATGAAATAATAATAGAATAATTAATATTATTTATACAGGTTTATTCAAGGTTTATTTAAGTTATATCCATGGTTTAAGTTTTCGGAAAACTGTCCCTTACACTCTGTATAACTAAAGTACTACTTATTTACATGAACTTATTATTTATAAAAAAAAATAGGTACTTATTACAATTATTTATTCTTTACATTTAGTATATAAAAATTCATGAATTAAAAGTACAAAAATTAAAAAAAAACTAATGATAATTATTATAGATAAATATCATAATACAAAAGAAATTGATAATAATACATAATAATAAGAAGTAAAATTAAAATCATCATTGTAAACAAAAAAAAATAACAATAATTAAGATTAACAATCATGCATTTTATAATAATTAAATAACTTATTTCGACAAATTTTATAGTTTAACTGGTACAGCACTAGTTACACGTGCCGGTAATTACCGGCACGTGTAACTGCATTGAAAAGAAAGGGATGCATAGTCCGAGAATGTCCGAATACATCAACGCGAGTTGCGTTGCGACCAATATAACTTGAGCTCTGATTTAATTACATTTAATGAATTTGGAAATTAAAATTCACTTACCTATGAAAAGTGATGCCATTTTTTTTTAAATTACATGTTTGGCTACTATTTCCATACCATTTTATTGTACAGGGAGCCATGTTGCGAGTCTGTTGTATTTTTGTGTCGGAAATTCACAAGTCTCAAGCAATGTGTTCGCGGGTCACGGATGTGGTCGCTATTTAAGTACATCGCGCGATCGTTTTCTCAAGTCAGACGTATTTGTCTAACGTGTTGACTGAAAGTGTTCGCCTTGTGTGAGGTGTCTATTGGGCTGAGTGGTCGTTGCCTACAACCGAGCGGCACGTACCCACGCGACAGGGCTGCCTGAGTGCCCGCCGGCCAGTATTTCAAATTCATCTACCTACTTGAGTTTCTTTCTAATTTTGTGATTTCAAATATTATATTTTTTATTTAAAAACTATTATTAGTAGATTTAATTAAAAAATCTCAAATTTATAAGGGTGGTATGTAAACCTTATAAATTTGAGATTTAAAAATATTTGCGCCTCGACTGAGACGTACGAAAAGCTTTATTGTTAAATTTAATAGTATAAAGAATCCGCATTTATTTTTTATTTTTAATTTAATTAATTAATTTTTATTTTTTAAACGATGTCTCGATACTTTATTGTTTGAAATTAGTGAAGTTACGGGAGGAATAAAATGTTTATTTTTGTATCCAATTATAAAAGTTACATAACATAACCTCCTTATACAATTTTCGTATCCAATTATACGATCTGGCAGCCCCGCACGGTTGTCTACCGAGTGTATACCGAACGCGAGGCGCGTACTCGATTTCCGACCGTTTGTATGAAGATGGAATACTGTATGTAATATTACCGTGTCCATACTCTATACCAAAAAGGTGCCTACATTAATTAAAATTTACTATAAAAATAAATATTAATTTTAATATTAATGTTAAAATTTCATATTAATTGTTAACGGGGTCGGTATCCAAACTTTCACACTAATATGTATTATAAATGTAAAAATCTGTTTGTTTGTCCTTCGTTCACGTCGAAACAGAGCGACAAAAAGGCGTATTTATTTTTTTACCGCAGGAGATTATCTCATTCCCAATAATACAGCCTAAAAAATATTTATAATCAGAATTACTTGAAACTTGGTATTAAGGCTCCTCAATACAATTAAATAAATACGTGTTTTAGCAGTCTTCGAAATTTATTCCATAAGGGGATAAAATAAGGGATGAAAATTTGTATGAAACCTACCTTTTTAGAGTTTTTTTGTAGTTTTAGCGCGAGCGAAGCCGCGGGCTCTACTAGTATTATATAAAATTATTATTACAGGTTCAAGAAATCATTACAAGCACGATGACTGATGCCCCCGAGAGTGAAACCGAGACTAGCGATGTTGGTGAAACGTCTAGCCGACGTTCTACTAGCGAGGTATATATCTAAACTTATGATCAATATAATCACTAATGTAATGTAGTATATGAAAGGATTTTCGCGACTGGCGACATGTATTCGTATATGTACCGAGTATACATCCACATGCATTTAGTAAAAAGCTGTTATTTTGACATTACAAACAGACACTTCAATTTTATTTATCTGTATAGATTATAATACTTATTTGAGTAGATATCTTGCAGTTTTTTATGATATTCTTGTTCTTTTCAGACCGAGGGCGAAGGCCTACGCGCTGCATTGGAACAAGCGGAAGAAAGGGCGCCTCCTCCACCCGCGCACGCTCTCAAACATGAACTCCAACATTCCCAGCCTGTAAGTATAAATTAACTGTAGTAAAATTCAACAGTATGAAATATTTTTTATGTAAATGTCAAATAGTAATTTCATTCTGTGAAATTACATTACTAAAACCACTAATATTGTATACGCGAAAATTTGTAACTTAGTATGTTTATTTCTTGTTCAGGCTGTAACGGCTGTATAAATTTAAATCAAAATTAGAACGGAAATTTTCTGTTCTGGATCGATATCTCCTTAATCTACAAGTATTAAGAATAAACTCTTCCTGGTCAAGGGCTTAAATGTGATTGTTACATATCTTTCCACTAAAGGTACAATAGATATGAATAAAATTCAAAAAGGAAATAGTTAAGGTTACGGATGTACCTTAATACTTCCATAAACTTCCACAGGTTGGCTGGAAGAGATCTCTTCTAGATATAATACCACCTTTGCCCACATTGGTCTCTTTATTATCTGTGTTACATTGTTAATATGCGATAAAGTATATATGTTGATTAACTTTTATCGATGTATTTCTACCTATGTTCCCACCTGCAGGGCTTCACCGTGCGCGGCCCGAGCCCGCCCACCGGCTCGGGCGTGCTGTACCCGGTGCTGAGCGTGGGCGGCGCGGCGCTGGTGGCGGCGGCGTCTATCGCTCTCGCCGTCTCGCGCCGTCGCGACCGGGCGCCCTCTGCGCAAGGATTCGTTCAGGTTATAACATACCTAGCCATACACATAGATATAATAACAGGAAATTTATTTTTTCTGTATGAACAATGTACCTATATATTGATATATGCGAAATTTACCGGTAATATTAGGTATAATTTTATAATAATTAATTATTATTAACAATATACATACATATATTTTATTAAATACTTATTGACCGTTTATTTACCTATAATTTGTTGTTTAAAATATTTTTCAAAGAATAAGTTGTTTTAGTGTCAATTTGGTAAAAAATGTTAAAATAATAAATAAATGTATTATGTATAATAAAAAATTATTTTATGATACATAATACATTTATGTATATTTGTGATACGATAGGTTTAAATTAATTTTGATTTTAATTTTATTCCAGGTGGAACAGACCGGCGCTGTCGCTCCCACTCCTGAAGAGCGACACGTGGCCAACATGCAGATCAACGGTTACGAGAACCCTACCTATAAATACTTCGAAGTCAAGGAGTAAATTGCCCACAACTGTAATCCACCAGACCTGCTTTACTCGCTCTTTCTTACTTCGGGAAACGTAGACGGTGACAAGTATTTAGAAATGTCTAAAATATCTCGTTTCGCTTATCCATTCCCTGGCGTTTCCGAGCAGCACGATTTCTACAAAGTAAAGCACAATAATTTCAATATCGTCCATTTTGAAAATAACAACGCTAACAGTTAAAATTTAAATTAGAATGTAAACCCTCGGAACCAAGGGATGGAGACGTTTCAATTTTAATATTTTGTGATGTGTGCTAGATACCCCTAGTCTGAGTCGATGGTACCCTCTCCTTATATCTATTTCCTTAAATAATTAATTCTTTATGGAATGAATGTGTGTGAAGATTACATGACTCTATAGGTAAAGCAAGCCTGGTGGCGAGTATTCACAAAGTTCATTTTAACTATAAAGCTTGTGTGATTAGTCAACATATTTTTTGCGATTTCTCGCAATCAGTCAAACTAAAAATAATTGATATTAGAATTTATATTGTTTTATATGTTATTTTTTTATGTTTGCACCAAAATATTTATTTGAGTTTAAGATTAGGTCTAAGTTTCGTCTAGTGTCCTAGAAATCATAAGTGTCACTTTGTAGTCGAGTTATTTAAATTAAGTTTTCGATACCGCATCTCGAGTGATAACTACAGTGTGTAAACTTCTCACTTTTTATATTATAGGTTAACATTGCTCTTATCGTTTTTATATTTCAACGTTGATCTCACTTTGGTAAGATACTTCTTACATAACTTTTCTAACTCTTGATACGTCACTGTACGTTGTCACTCGGGTCAGTGGAACAAACGTCCATGGTACGCTGTGTATATAGACTCCGCGTACAAATTTGAACCTAAATTACTTACTCTTAAAGCCCGCTTTCTTTTTCTAATGTAGGTAGAACATAACGTGAATTTTATGTAATAAAATGCGAAAATATATTTTAATAATTACGTGTACTTAGCAAAGGGACGGGCGGCAAAGCCGGCGCGGGTGAACGCTTAGCCTTGTAGTTTTCTTCTAGTCCAAGAAACTTTTTCAATCTGAGATGACTTGAACGAAAAGGATATCGTTTAAACATGTAACTCGGATATATATCTGTCTCTGTTCCCCTTTGTCTTTCTTCGTTTACCCGCGGGACAATACTCTTAGTTCCCGATAGGAGAGAACTGTGTACTCAACGTGTGTGAAAAGGTATACAATCCACACTCTCGGTCGAAGTTCGAATAGGAGCTTCGTATTATCTAGTCAAATGGGTGCAACTGAGTCGGTTTAATTTAACGGTTGTGGCGCACATTGGGTACTCGGTAACGCCGAAGCAGTAAGCTTAGTGAGTGTATGTACGGTTATTATATAAGTAGATGTACAAAAGTAATACATTATATAGATGTTTTAGCGTCAGATACATAGATATAAAGCAAAATATAATTATATATCGCATTCGTCCGTTTAATGTAAGGGCTTGCGCTCGTGTCTATTCCCACGTACCACACTTAATGTTACGCCGTAGTTAAGATGTAATTCTGCCTCAGTATTATATACATTTAAGCTTATTTGTTACATAAGCTAATTTATATACACTAATTCTATTCGTTTACGGGCGAAGTGGCGTCGCTACGTTAAGGAAGTCATATCAGATGCGTCACGGCGCTGTACCTTTATCACTTCGGCGCGTCTCAAACCGCCTTATCTTCTACTTAACTGAGAACCTCGATACTAGATGGCGTTAGTGTCGCGGCGAAGTGAGCAAGGTGTGAGTAGGCGCCCGCCCGTGGCTTGTACGGCATATTTACGTAAGTTTACTCACTGTATAACGTAAGTCTAATCCTGCATCAAGTAACCGCTGTATTTTTACTAATAACTAAGTAACGAGCCGACCACTTATTTTTTTAACAAAACTTTTTGCTCAAAATCAGCTGTCTCTCGTCGGTATTGAAATTCTGTATCCATTCAATGTTTAATATTTCGATGTGAACAATATTCGATGTTCGTAGATTAACCCTGGTTTATGTAATTTCAGATCACTGTTTCACGTATTTTGAGAATATAATAAATGGTTTGAAATCTTTTGTGTTTCCTATGCTACATTTTATTGTGAGTTCGAAGTTCAAATTGAATCGATAAATAGGAATTTAAATATTGGTGTTATTAATGGTAACATTGCCACATCCTGCTTTTTTGTATTTAAACTGGCTTTAAGCTAATTAACAGTACCAATATACATATGAAAAATAAGCTACTGTCAAATATGGATCTCAGTAACTGCCATTACATTTGTCTATATATTGAATTTACTATATTATTCTTTTCTACATTAAATAGTTGAAAATATGGTATTATATAATTATAATTCAAGTAAAATTTCATCTATAGATATACCTTAATTATATAATTAAGGTAAAATGGAGGTAAAATATAAAAATAGAGGTTGAAAAACAGAGGAGACTTACTTTACTTTAGGCACTTAACTATTTTGTCTTTGCTTATTTATATATACATAAATTACTTTCACAATTTTATTTATTACATTTAATTATTTGTTTACAACAACTACAGTCCCCCACGTGTAGAGGTTGCTGTAAATTTTATTTTACCTGTGGCGAAGGATCGTTTAACGAGTCTGTATTCGTAATAAAAAAGTATTTCTATATAGTTTGTGAGTTTATAAGTATGTACATGTTCTAAAATGCCTTTTCCATTTTAAAGAAAATGTATAAGAAATGTATTCGTGTTATATATAGGCCAACACGCACTTGGCTAGCGTGATGGACTATGATCTGATTCCACTCGTATTGAAGGAAGGCCCGTGCCCAGAAGTGGGACGTTAAAAAGGGCTAAATACATACATACAATGTAGTGGAGTGTCGTAAACTAATAGTTAGTAGCTAGTACTTTAACATTGATTTGCAGCCATTAAAGAAGGCCCACGATGTACTATTATCAAACTCAGAAATCAAGAGAACAAAGAGATACTTTTTAACAAAAAATCTTTTAACTTATACAGATGAATAAAATAGAAGTGTCTGTTTGTAATGTATATATAATGTATAACAGCATTTTACTATATGCATACTAAATTATATACGGTACTTATAAGAAAAGTACAATATTAAAAAATTTTGTTTGTCTGTCTGATTGTTCCAAATAATCTCTGAAACGGTTGGACGGATTTTGACGGGATTTTCACTGGTAGACAGCTGATGCTATAGGCAGTAACATAGGTTACTTTTATTTTAGAAAAAAATTTAGAGTTCCGCTCAAAAAAAATGAAAACGTACCTAGGGACGAACCCGAGCGAAGCGAGAGTGAGTCGCTAGTTAACAAATAAATTTTTGCGCGGATATCCCCTATCAGCGGAATAAGAAACACTTTCTACGAGATTAATCGTATTAATATAATTTATACTTAAAATATAATTTATTTATTTAATTTAATATCGTAAGTAGCCATTTAGTAAAACATCTATGTTAATATTACTAAAAATATGGAGTACAATAAAGAAAAAATAGAGTTTTCAAAATTCTATCTTCTTTATTTTTAATTCGTTAATAAAATCAATTTATTATGTTATTATTTTAATAATAATAATAATTACAGATTAAAGTATACGCGCGAACACAAGGGAGTGGAGGGCGGTGGCGTAGAACAGTCAACAGGCATGATCGCATGACAGCCCCATAACGGTCACGGCCCCGTTTTCCGTAAAAATACGAGTCGGTTTTACTGCCAAGGCGCGCCTATAGATGTGTAACATCAAAAATATCCTGTGATTCATATCCAATAAATTTTATTTAGAAAATTCAGCTAAACATTTAAAAAGCCAACGCAAAATATATATTTTTTTCTGTATAATTATTGTTGATCACAATAATAGGTATGCTATCGACTCCACCACCATGTCTGCTCTTTGAATGTTGTCTTAAAAGAACAAACCTTAATTCGGCTACTCATAAGAGTAGATAGGTTATTTAATATTTTCATTAAAATAACAATGTTTTTCTATTTTATAATAATGTACCCATTAAGTTGTAAATATATATAGAAAACGACAACCGAGACAAATAAGTCAGAAAATGCAAACAGCGTTATTTTTAACTAGCAGAAAAATTAAATTGTAGAATTATGCATTTATGAATATATTACTTTATTTTCGAATCTACTTACCTATATCATACCTATATCGTTAATACACAGTTTAGTTGACTAAATTATTAGGGTTCATTGCGATCCCATTTAATTTACATATTGATGTTAAAGAGGTCAATAAATTAATTTAGTGTCTCATTATCAATCATAATTATTAATTCTAAACGAAGTTTAATGTTATGTGTTTATTGTGGTATATTTTTTCAGCAAATTCACATTGAGAGTTCTTTATAACTTCTGAAAGATAAATAATCGGTATTGAGTGTTTGAATCATTAAAATTGTTGAAATACAGCAAATCTGATGAGAGGAGAGGGATTGAGGATAATAGAGCTTTTTAATTACTTATTTTTATTCGTTAAGGCCAGTTCCAGTTGAACTTAATTGAAATTACATATTTTTTTGTCTTATTTAAGACTGTCCTTATACTATTATTTAATTTTAATCATTTCATTACAAGGCATAATTTTAAAGGACTCTCTTTTTAATAAAATAATTAACATTTTATTGACTCAATTACTTAATACTTGTTAAAAATAACAGATTTACTGTATTTTGTACTTAAGTAAATACTTTTTAATAAAGCACCTTAGTTGCGTAGAGTAAGCTTTATTTTTGAGTCTCTATAAAGTTAGTAATCATAAAATAAAAATTAGTATCGAAGTGTACAGATCAAACTAAATCCCACTAGTCATTGTCTAAATTTAGCAAAATATAAAACGGTTTATAAATATATTTCACTGTGACGTCCCTTGAGTGTACTAAGAGGAAAAAAGTTATGCTTTATAAATAATATTTCAATAGCGCCATCTAGTATCGAATAGTATAA